CAGTAACTCTTCTGTATGCCAACAATGAGAAGAGCAAGGCTAACATCAGAAAAGAAACTCCATTTGTAATAGCCTCAAAAGAACCATAAAAACACCTAGAAATGTACTTAAACAGAGAGGTGAAGGACCTCTATAATGAAAACTTTAGAAACCTGAAAAAATAAATGAAAGCAGATTTAAGGAAGTGGAAAACTTCCAATGCTCATGGATTGGGAGGATTCACATAGTAAAATGGAAATACTGCCAAAAGCTACACACAAAGTCAGTGCAAAATCCATCAATATCCCAACAATATTCTTTAATGAAATAGAAGAAGCAATCCAAAAATTCATATGGAATACTAGAAGACCTCAAATAGCAAGAACAATCCTTAGCAGGAAAAACGGTGCTGGAGAAATATCAGTACCAAACTTCAAACTCTATGATAATATTGTAGTTGTAAAAACAGCTTGGTCCTGGCATATGAACAGGCCTGATGACCAATGGAATAGAATTGAAGACCCAGAAATGATCTCACAGACCTATGGCCACCTAATCTTTGATAAGGGAAGAAAGCCTCTTCAACAAATGGTGCTGGCAGAATTGGCTATACATGTGAAAAAAGCTGACATTTGATCTTTATATATCACCCTGCACTAGAATCAACTCCAGATGGACCAAAGACCTTTCAGGTAAGCAAATACCCTGAAAATACTACAAGAAGGGATAGGGAATTCACTAGTGCTCCTTGGCACAGGTTGAAACTTCATAAATAAAGATCCAGAAACACAACGAATTAAAGAAAGATTGGTAAAACAGGTTCACATTGAATTGAAGACTTTTTGCATGACTAAGATAGCAAGATAAATAGAAAGCCCACAGATTGGGTGAAGATCTTCACTAGCTATACAACAGACAAGGGCTTTATGTCAAAAATACACCTACAGTCCAAAAAAATTAACAAATCCTCAAGAAAACAACCACCCCATTAATAAGTGGGCTAAAGAATTAAAAAGTACTCTGGAGAGGAAATAAAAATGTCTAATAGACACATGAAGACATGTTCAGCATCTCTGTCCATAGAAGAAAAGCAAATCAAAACAACATTGAGATTCCACCTCACCCCAGTTAGAATGGTCATTATCAAGGAAACAAATAGTAACAGATTCTGGCAGGGAATGGAACAAAAGGGAACCCTACTACACTGTTGGTGGGAAGGGAAACTGGTTCCACTACTCTGGAAAGCAGTATGGAGGTTCCTCAAAAGAATAAACATAGAGTTCTCCTAGGATCCAGCAATCTCACTCTGAGCATTTACCTAAAGGATCACAAATAAGCCCACACTAAAACTCCATCACAGCTATGTTCATTGCAGCATTATTTACCATAGCTCCGCTATGGAACCAACCTAGATGTCCCTCAGTAGATGAATGGATCAAGAAAATGTGGTATATATACACAATAGAATTCTGTGCTTCCATCAGAAAGAATGGCATCTACCTATTCATAAGGAAATGGAAAGATTTAGAAAAAGTCATTGTAAGTAAAATAAGCTAGACCCAAAGAACAATGGACTCCATGCTGTCTCTCCTTTGTAATAATTAGTATGTCTATGATAGTCCTGGCAGAGGCTCATAATAGCTCAATAGCTAAGTACCTATGACCATATAAAATGAATGCTAATCAAAATGAACTCCAAGATATGGAAACAAGCAGGGTTTTATTGTTGTTGTTGTTTTTAGTGTACTGTTATTTCTTTTTTCTTTAATATTTTTTCTTTTCTGTTAATTTATCCCTTTTTGTCACTTTTTGATTTTGGTAGCCTGTGTCTTGTACATACATTTATCTGATTTGGGGAAGGCAAGGGGAACAACAAAATGATGAGACAAAGGACAAAGTTGAACCAATGCAACAATACTCACAAGACACTATGTTGGAAATGAACATTCCAATTTGGGAGAGGGGGAGTCAGGGGAGGGAAAGTGGGAGAAAAAGAGGGAGGAGGTAATAAGAAATGTACCCATTACCTTACTTATGTAACTGTAACCCCTCTATACATCACCTTCACTACAAAATTAAATTTTTTTAAAAAGAACAAGTAATGCCAGGAAGAAGGGAAATGCCTCTTAGATCATGTTGAAGGCCCCACATTGGAGGTGGGGTAAGTTGTAACACATCTTGCAATACTTGGAAACTCTTTCCCTCTGTCAATTAACATAATTTGGAAGCACCTGTGGATTTGAATCAGCCTAAGAGACTGTTTTTACTGTTCAGTGTGGGCTATCTGTTGTGTGCGCTTGCTGTTGGAAGCCAGGGTTGGCTTGCAAATTGAGAAGGAAATGGACCTGGTTTAGGGAGTCTGGAGAAAACAAAGGAGGGAAAATGATGTCTACTTTACCACTTCAGAAGCAGTTGGTATTTGCCAAAACTCTTCATCCTTAATATATGGCAAGGGCCTACTTGTATATAATCAGACCTTCTTCTGCCATATGTGCAGGATGAGAAGGGAACTGAGAGAAAAAACAGGCCTCTAATTATTGATTGCTAATAAGCCTTAAATCCCAGCCTCTCTCATCACTGATGGCTTTAGAGAAGAGCCTGTCATTTATTTGCTTTTTCTTTTTAACTAATGGGTTTTTACTAGTTTTGTGAAACTGCAATTAAATAACTTGGTGAACTTTGCCTTTGCTGAAAAGTCTTTTGAAAAGAAATGCAGTATTTTGGGAAAGAAAAAAGTCAGCCACAAAATAGGCCACATTATTAGATTTTCAATTGTGCCATCATTTTGTTCTCTGGGAATCTAGGGCTTTAAGTGGATTGATGACTCAGGATCTTGGATGAGACATTTTCTGAAATAACAAATGAAAAATTGAAAGCTACTTTGGTCATATTTGAGCTCATAGAGTACCATTTTTTCTTTTTTTTTAACCATTTAACTATGTGTACGCTTTTCTATAGCCTATGGTCTGTGTTTGCATTCAACCTTTTGGGTTGTGTTTAAATGTTCATTTTTTTTTGGGACTATATTAATATTTCTAATAATATCCTACTTCTTCCAAAACCCAACAGGATGGTAGCAAATATATATCTATATATGTTTTATTAATTGACATATTTATTTACAAAAACATTTAAAAATCTAGTTTGTACTAGATTGTTCCCTCCCCCATGGTATAACCCATGCTTTCATTGTATTTAATGTTGGTATAATTTGTAGAGGGGAAGAGCAAAAACAAACCGTTTAAATAGGGATACAGGTGGACCCATTGAAGCAATGAGATGTACAAGTCATTATATTGAAAAACGAATTTTACAACTTTGGCCTGGCAAGGGTGGTGTGTGTGTGGGGGGGGAGATGGGAAGGGATGGGAAGGGGAAACAAAGGAGGAAGCAACAATGCTTGATAAGAAATGTACTCATTACCTTGCCCATGTAATTGTAACCCCTCTGTATGGTATTTTCACAATAAAAAAATTTTAAAAATGCAGAAGCTGAATGATAATATTAAATCCTCTGACCCATGCCTATATAGATTTCTATTTCTATTTCTCTGTCTTATCAATTTTACCAGTAACAACAAAAAGACTTTATATAACTTAAATTAAAACCTACTATGAGATCTAGAAATAGTCTCAAGTGTTGGCAGTAGATTTCAAATCACCCTTTGATACTTTTATACATGTGTAAAAATTTCTCATGTTCTATTAGTAATTTTAAACCTATTTAAAGGTCTTAAAAGTTTCTAGGGACTGTTTAAAAACATAGTTTTCTTGCTCTAGGCAGAATACAAGAATTAAGAAAGTGATGAATGAGGAAAGCTAACAGAAAGGATTTATAGTGTATCCTTTAAAAAGGATGCACTTGCTGTATTTTCTCTGAAAAATCACTTTGCCTTTGTGGCTAATCCATAAAAGTAAACTATCATCCTGGAGATTGGCTAGGCCTCAACTGTAAATAAAGGCTAAGTGGAACAAAGATCTTCAAAAGAAGAAAATAATTTCTAAGAAAGTAAAATGGGAAAGGGATTGGAATCAGATAGTAGTTGATTCAATAATATTAAGGATTAGTACAGTAAGAAAAGTTTAGTGTTATGCAAATTCTAAATTCTCATATGTACTGTCTTTTTTGATTCTCAGTACAACCCTAAGAAATATTGTAATGCTCATTTTGTACTTGGAGAAAATAATATTCATTTAGACTCTAAATACATTCTACTCTCTATCATAACACAGCTAGAAAGCAGTACAGCTGGAACTGGGATGCTGAACTTTTGGAATGCTTATTCTTGTTGCTCTTTCACTCTACCATTGTGCTTATAGGAAAGCACAGAAGTTAGAATTGAAATATTCTCCAAAATGTTAAGAACCAGACTGGGCTTTCAGTTAAGGAAAAGAGTAAGAGAAAGGATGAAAGGGAGAAGTTTCTCTATGTTGGCCTTGAGCAGATCAGTATAACTTGAAATGCCCAGGAGGTGGGCCTTTACCTGCATCTCTTTATCCTACCTTTTGCTTGTTCAAATCAGACCTTAGAGAATGTCTCTTGATGACTTCTTTTCTTTCAGTTTGGTAGAACTGGAAGAAAGCTTCTGTGAGTGCTATGCATGCGTGACTTCCCTGCCTTGCACCCTGACCTTCAGGGTAGGACAGGTAAGTGAGAGGGATAGAAGTCATCCTCCTGCTGCTCTTTTCATCACAGTTGATTCTTATGTTGCTTCCTCTGCTTACCCATCTTACTTTGGAGAACAATTAAAAACATGATTCACTCCAGGTTAAACAATCTCAGTTTTTCTCCCTTATTGTGTTTTCTGTTTTTCCTGAAATGATACTGGTTTTAGGATTTTGGACCAGCCACTTAATCTATCTGGAACTATTTGCCACATGTCTCACCGGAGCACTCAAAAGTGTTTTCTACTGAAAAATAGTTTGCATTTACAGTCACTGGCTGTGTTTCAAAAGATTTTTCCTCTTCCTTTCTCAAATGACTTCTCTTTTACAGTATCTCCTTCTGCTTTTCCTCCCCAGAGTCGAAAGCATGCAAGCAAAGTCCGACTCTATTATATGCTTCACCCTAGAGATGGAGGATGTCCTGCTAAGAGGCTCCGGTCAGAAAATGTGAGTATCTGGTGCCATGTGATAGCCTCAGGTGATTTGCTGAGAATTTTGCGGTTCCAGGAATGTTCAGATTTATGGCAAAGCAAAGTAAGTTGACGTAGTTCATACTCAGTATTGCAGAAAATACTGCATGTCAACAAGTCCTTTTTATCTGTTTGTGTTTTTCTGTCCTGTCAGAACTTGCCAGTACTGGAGGTGTGTCTAATACTGTATTGAGGCCATGTAAAGAGAGAAAAGTGCAGAGTGCTGGGACTGAGCAAGGCTGGGTGACAGGAGGCAAAACTATAAAAGGACAAAATGTTGGGAAAAAACGACCTGAGGGGCAAATCTGTCAGAAATATTAGATGCTTTGTTCTTTACGTAGGTTATGTTTCCTCTGCTATGTAGAACAGAATGTCAGTTTGTTAATTTATAATGAAGACTATACATATCTTGCAAATAAAGACACTCAGATCTTTTGATCAGCGCTCCCTCTCCCTGAAGGAATATTTACTTGGGAAAACAGATGACATCTAGAAAGTTGCTTTGAGGAGATAAAGTCAGTGAAAGGGTTTATATCTGCTAAGCCAAAGCAAAGACTGATGAAGTGAATATTCCTTCTTCTCAGCATGGTTACTTTTCTTAATGAGTGGAATATGTATACCCTTCAGCTACAAAGGCCCTCATTTTAAACAATGAAGATGGCACACAGTAATTTCTCACCCTCTGAGGTTGGAGGAGGCTGAAGGCATAGAATTGGTACCTTGTGCTATCAGTAATGCTAGTGATCCTGTTTTGTAGGTGTGTGCCTTCTTTTCTTATTAAAAATGAATGTGATCATTGAGAAAACTTTTAAAAATATGGATGGGAAATTTTTACAAGAGAAAATAGAGTAAAGAGAGCAGGGCACTGTGTGTAACCAACCAATGGTCTTGATTATTAGGAGTTTGCATGAACTTCAAGCATGATTTGCAAACATGCCTCGTAGCATCACAAAATGAGCTGTTCTGACAGAGACTGGTCTGGAACAGTGTGGAGTTATTTTATTGTCTGTGTGAAAGCCACACTTTGAGTTCATTGGAGGCCAAACATTGCATGAAAACTTCACAAACTGCTGAGAGCTGGCTTGTGTCTAGCTTTGTCGAGTCTTAGCTTTAGCACCTTGGGCTAACCATTGATCTCTTGGAGCCTAAATTTCATCAGGCAGACCCGAATAAGCAGATTTCCTTCACTAGTTAATGTGACTTAGAAGAAATGATAAACATGAGGAGCACTGTTAATATGGCTCAATGATGAAAAAGAAAAATAAGACATAGACTTGACTTGAAGAATTCATAGTATAATGAAGGGGAAGTCATTGCTTTATGTAAATGCCTGGATCTCACAGTGCAAGTATTTTTTTTTTTATTTTGTCGGTGGTGGGGCTTGAATTCTGGGCCTGGGTGCTGTCCCTGTGCTCTTCAGCTCAAGGTGAGAGCTCTACCACCTGAGCCACAGTGCCACTTCTGGTTTTCTCTGTGGTTTATTGGAGATAAGAGTTTCATGAACGTTCCTGCCCCGGCTGGTTTTGAATGCGATCCTCAGATCTCAGCCTCCCGAGTAGCTAAGATTACAGGTGTAAACCACCGGCACCCAGTTTACAGTGCAAGTATTTATTAATAGTCTGCACAAGGAAGTACGCAGACCGGAAGCAACTGAATCACTTCAGGAACCCAATTCTGAATCAAGTGTCACTGAAAGATAGGCCTCTGTTGGGGTCATAGGGTATAGAATGGATTTTACCAGATGGAAGAGAAAGGTAGAAGTGAGGAGGGAGGATACCAGTTTGTTAGGGGCATTCCTATCCAAAGAAACTGTTAAACTAACTGTAAGTTAGTTTTTGTGTAATCTACAAATCCTGCAGCTATCCTAGAAACATGCTTTCCATTAGCAAGTAGAACAAAATTAGTTTTTATCCTTTGAAATGATCTAACAGTGATGCCTGGATCCTTAATTCAATAGGCATTTAGAGCTTTATTCTAAAGATCAGGAAATTATGGGGTTCAGGCCCACTTGACAATTAGCTACTTGGACTCAGATTATTGTCATGTACTTACTTTCTCATCATGAACGTTATATTAATATGTGAGCACCTGGGGAGGGCTTGAAATGGAAGGGGAGCCTGGAGCTGACTCCAGAACTTGGTCTTTGCTACTTTGGGCAGACTCACAATTTTCTAACTTATTCCCTACACCATCCTGAGTCTGTTGTCCGGAGGGGAAAGATGTCTGAATTTGAAATCAAGATGTATTTTTAAGCATTCTTTATTTAAATGCCCTTTGAAAACTTGTTTCTCTGCTGTATCCTGGGTTTTGAAAACTTTTATCTGCCAATGGTTTATTTATTAAGTCATTTTTCTATAGCTTATTAACCATAGTATGAAAGCAAATCAGTACACAGAAGAAGCACAAAAGATATTACTGTTCAAAAGAGAAGGTTGACTTTTTGTTACTTTTGTTACTTTTTTGAGGGCAAATATAATTTTTATTACATATTTTGAGACATTGCGTATAGTGCAGAAGCCAATTCTCCAGGGCTCTGAGAGTACCTTGAAGAAGACTGAGAAACCAAATGTACAAATGGATCATGGCAAGACCATATATAAAAACTGAACTCTGACCTACGGAACTCTGACCTGTAACAAGCAGTCCAAGAAATCATATGCACCCCTAAGCAATGACATAGGATGTTTTGCTTTTGGTTGGCTCTCTTGCATCTTTGCCATGCCAACGGCCTCCAATTAAGGAGCTCTCCATTCTTGCCTTTCCTGAGTCTCCCCAAAATGCTTGTGATGGAAACTGACTTCCTCAGTACAGTAAGCTCTAAGTAAATAGCCTCTGTTTGCTCTTATTTGGTTGGTCTGGAAATGGGAAGAATGATAATATAGAAAACACAGTTTTCTCATTTGGTTCAGCTGAGCTCACTCACATTTGCTTGTCACTTTGTTTTGGAGACCATTCAGTCTTTTGGTTCTCTTTCCACCAGCACGTCTGTTCTCTTACAGATATAACATTCTTCTACTTGCTTCTTTGCTCTTCCCACTGTCCTTGTTTGCAGGAGCTGTGGTAGGTTTCCATCACAGTGCTCTCTGATTGGGAAGAGCTTCCACATGTGCCCAGAATTCCCAGAAAAATGAAAGACAGAGAAAACTCATTGTTGATTATCCAGCACTAACCACACCATTGCAAACTGTAGGAATGAATACATAAATAGTAGCTCCACACTTACTTAGTAGTTTATATTCCCATGGTCTAGTGTTGCCACTTCCACGTTAGCCCTTAAACCTCTTTTGTTGGTATTGCTATTGGCATTTAAACATTTTTAAATTTATATTTCTTTCCTGTTCTAGCATTTCGAACTTTTCCCCCTTCACATATTTTACTCTTTAGAATCTCATTTGGATCTTCTGTATTTTTTTTCTCTGAATTTTAGAGCAAGACATTTTCCCCTTGAGGCCATAGAGTAAAATTAAATGTGAAATAAATTGTTATAGGTGATTGCCTTAGAGAAATTTTCAGTAATTCCCTGAGCTGTAGAGCCAAAAAGCACTTGAGATCATCCAGTCTCTTGTGATTCTGTTTCCACCCTGACCCTGTATTATCTTCTCCCCTGTGGTTCACATGCTTTAAAAAGTCATTTGTTTGAGAAATAGAACTTTTAAATAAAAATGTAATTATTATTATAGAACCACATATTTAGCTGCCAATCAAAATCACCAGTATCTATAGGTAAAGAGTGCCTTGCCATGGAGTTAATAGAATTCCCTCTAAAATTGGAAAATTAAGCATTTGGTTAGCATGGTGAGGCTGTCTCATAATATTTCCATGTTCTCCTTTAGGTCTCAAGCATCCAGCATAGCATAGTTTTACTTTCATAGATATTAACTGTCTTGGAAGTGAAGATGACGATAAAGACCAAAAAGCACCATGTGTTGTCCAAATTGTTCAAACCTGGATTTAGACCCTGCTTATTCCATCCTATTATTAAGCATTCCCTACAAATCTCCAAAGTTGGATCTTATCTTGGTCATTGATGCTACTGCTCTGTTCAGAATCAGAGAGATTTGCTGCTTTGGCCAAAGTTCTGTTCCTAGTTGGCATTTACCAAATGCTCCTACATACATTTTAAACATGCTCCATAGGTTAGCACAGGCAATCTTCACAATCTCTCTAATCCCACTTTACAGAGAGGCAAATTCAAACAGATTAAATGACTTGACTCTGATTATACAGCTGTCCAGTGGCTGAGGCATGGCTAGGAGGTTAGAAAACAAACTTAAGGATAGTTCAACCATATCACTCCATGAAGCAGGCTGTAAAGCTTCTATAATATCAAAGAGATTAGGATCTAGTAGAGAGTTAGCCATGTATCTTTTTTAAAAATTTTATTTTATTGTAAAGATGCTGTATAGAGGGGTTACAGTTACATGAGTAAGGTTATGAGAACATTTCTTGTCCAACATTGTTACCCCCTCCTTTGTTTTTCTCCTACTCTCCCTTCCCTCCCTCCCTCCCCCACTCTCCCTCCCCACAGAAGTTGTAAAGTTCATTTCCTACATAGTGTCTTGTGAGTATCATTGTTGTGATGTGTCATCCCATTGGATCCTTGCTCTCCTAAGCATTTGCCTAGACATAGGGAGAGAGGGGTCTCAGCTTCCCCTTGTAGCACAGGGAGAAAGGCTAGGTTTCCTGGGCAGCATGACACAGAGAAGATTCTTCATAGATGTGGATGAACCTAATGGGTATGATAGGAATGGCTTGTCTGAACATGGGGTCAGCATATCCATGTTGTTAGGTCCTCCCAGGAAAAATGACCCCATACACTTAGCCTTCTCTACAAGTGTCTGCCCAGCACCTGAACTCAGTAACTAACTGGTTCACCTAAAGGCAGTGGAAGGTCCGTCCCCTAGACTCTGAGGTCATTTCCTCATCCTCTGTGACCATAACCCCTCCCTTCCTTCTTCCTATATATCCTCTCTGCAC